TCCACAGCCTCTCCTCTATTCTCTCTCTGTGAACCACTACTCTCTGGACTGTCTTATTCCCTATTATCTTAGTCACGTGCCTTGTAAGGAACCAGCAGCAGTTTCAGCACAAGGGCAGGGGCAGGAATTCAAATCCGATTCAGAAATTGAGGTTCACATCCAAACAACCGTCCGGGAAGGACTTTCTATTTCATGGTTGAAGTGGGCCGTCGTAGCTAGGAGGCTGGCACAGTGGTTTCTCAGTCTTTTAAGAATCTGTTTTGTAGTGACCCCTCTCCACCTATCCAGGAGCTCTGAACTTCCCTCTACTCACATATTTAATACTCCCAGGAGAACTGGTGGCACGACTCCTTTAAATCTTTAATCTTGCTGTGTGTGTCCATACTCATGTCCATGTATGTTCATGACACTATTTTCCTAGGTGCCATGGAGTAGTGGATTTGTTTGAGGATGGATGGAGCCCAGAGACATGACCCTGAAATTCCCCTTTACATAAGGAAGTCTTCTGGGACCAAGTCAAGGCAATCCCTTCATTTGAGAATTGAAAAATCTTTGAAAGTGTTACAGCATCTTTTTTAAAATGATTACAGCCTGTCCAGTGTGCTCAGTAGTTGAGCATCCATCCATGAACCATGAGATTATGGTTCAATTCTCAGTCAGAGCACATATTCAGGTAGTGGGCTTAATCCCAAGTAGGAGGCATGCAAGAGGCAGCTGATCCATGATTCTCTCATTGTTGATGTTTCTGTCTCCCTCTCTTTCTTCTTTCCTCTCTCAAAATCATTTTTTTAAAAAAGATTATAGTCATATTTCTTTCAGAAGCCTTTATTTTAAAGGAATATTTGGCACATGGAATTTACAAAATATTTTTATTATATCGCCCATTTTTGACACGGAAGATTCTTCTTTTCACACCTTGATAATTGTTGGATCATTTATTTTGAGAAGTTTGTGTATGCTGGGTTCACATTTCTGATGGTGAGATAAGTTTATCAGGATCTCAGAGAACATGGTCAATGAACATAGAAATTATAGGTTACAAAATAAAGCCTCCTTACTAAGCATTGGAAGATGTATTCCTTGGCCTGTGCACCTAGTCTAAGCCGGCCTGGAAATCACTGAGCAGTCGTACTCAGATAAGTCCTGTAGATGCTCCAAGGACAAATAAACACTCCAATTTGGACAAAGTCCACCCTATGACTGATAACACGTGGTATTCATAGATGACTCTCTCAGACAATTGCTTGAACTCAGCCACAGCCAATATCATATCAGCTACAGATGAAAACGTGAGGAGTGATCATATTTTAGGGTGACTTCAATGGGATAGAATGACTGAGATTTTTATTTTGATTAATTACTTATTTTATACTATCCCTTCAAAGAGACCTTTTCTTTTATTGGGAGCCTAGGAAAAAATATTTGGGTAGTTAGGCTAAAAATAGACAGTGAATCTTCCCATTCTAAAAGCTACGGAATTCCCAATGCAATGTGAATCTAAGCAGGAATTGGCGAGAGCAGCAGAAAAGAGGGATTGAATGTAACATTTTATTGTACGTCATGAAATCTGTATATGCTAGGGTACTTTTTTCCAAAGGTTCTGTTGCAATTGAGTGCTGATGCCTATCAATTGACATAATAATCCCTCCCGCAACCAGTGGCCTCGAGCCTCCTGACACATAAAGGAGATGTGAGCCCTGGTCAAGGTCCATGTCAGAGTCCCCTTTCAGTTGGAGATTCAGTTCCATCAGGTCACTGAACTTGTAAGTCCTTGTAAAAAACCTTCCTGAATTTGTATTCTCCTCTTTACCATCTGCCTTTCTTCTGCAGCTACATCCTGGTCACTCCTTGGGAATAAATATAAACACTGGTTTCTAGCCTGAAAGTCCACATTACAACCTAGGACTCAACCACCCTTTTTGCCTTTAGTTTTACTAAGTACTGCATCCAAGAGTGCCACGCCATTACTGTGGCCAACATCAGCTGATGCTTCTTATTGGTGATGTTTATTTATACAAAGTGATGTTTTATATGCATATCTGTATAACCCATGGGCATAGACAATAGTGTGGTAGGCTTGGTTGGGGGAGTGGGGAGAGTGTAGGGAAGGGAGAGAGGGTCCATGGGGGAATAAAAGGGGATAATTGTAATACTTTCAACAATAAGGATACATTAAAAAAAAGAAAAACACAAAGTGAATTCATTGCTGGCTCTATTAATCCTACAAAGTCCATGAATCCTTAATGCTCAGTGTTCTTAGAATGAGCAGCAGTGTATTTGTTCCTTCTCAAATAGAACTTCTCGCTAAGCTTCAGATGAGCTCCTTTTAGATAACATGCCTTCTATCTTAGATGATTTATTCGCTTTCATGTTCCCTGGAATTTATTGTAGAGGTTGATGTGAAAACTTACAGTTTGAGTTCTAATATAATCTCCTGGATGGAATTAATAAATAAAAGATGGTTACTATTGTCAACAGAAGGATGAGGCTTTCTCACTTTCATCTCTGTATCTTCACCAAACTTCCTATCAAACATCCCTAGGGCTTGATGGTGTAAAATGTTTTCTGTAAACTCCAAAGCTTTTACTGTTGCTTCAGTACCCCAAGCCTCCATGTTGCTTTTTTTTTTGTTTTCTTGTCAGAAAGAATTTTACTCGATTTCTGTTTATTCAACTAACCTTCCTTCCAGCGAATAGAAGAAACATCTCCCTCTATGGATTTAGTAGGAATATATTCTCAATATTTATGAATATATTCTGGTACTATTCAAGTAGTACCAGAAATATGTCCCTGACATCTACTGGGATTTTGTTTTTGGCTTAGTCTCACCTCTGTTGCGATTATTGGAAATGCAGTATCACTCTGTGAAATGCAGTGTTTATTGTCATCATGTGTATTATTCAAAGTGCAAAATTGCCTCTTGAAAGTTAATGATGAAACTGTAAAAACAGGTCCAATTTTTGTACTTTGCCTGCTTGGCTAGACTCGGGCTAATCTAAACTAATGCTCTTTCAGAGATAAGGAATCTGGAGGCCACTTGAAGTAGCCTGACCATAATCAAGAAGAAAGCAGAGGCCAAATGGCATTAGGCAGCGTGATTAGAAAGGGTAGCATTAGGCTGCCACAGGACAGTGCCCAGTTCTGACACTTAAGTGTATAACTTTGGGCCAGTATTTCACTGCTCTGTGCCTCAGTTTCCTCATCTGCAATAGGGCTAACAGTAGTGCAGTAGCACAACTCTTAGGCTTGTAGTAAGGTAATCCTAGTAAAGCACTTAGAATCATCTGTAGCTGTCAGCATTATTGTAATTATTTTGACTATTTTTAATACATGCAGGACTTATGGAAGGAATGTGTAATTTTTTAATGTTTTGTGTGTTTATGTAGTCATCTCATCTTTGTATAGGCATTACTTCCTTTATGTCCTTTGCATTACTTAGTGAGGTGTTAAGCAATTAGTATTAAAGGTGGGCACAGCAGAAGAGCAAAGATACTGATGGTAGTTCAGTGAGCCTCATTGTGTGCTGGGCCCTGAAATGTAGGTACTTTATGTACACACCCCTGTATATGCCCGCCATCTATATATACTGAAAACCTGCAGAGGAGGTTATTTCCAGTAATGCAAGTGTAGCCTCGTCATCATCATAATCTCCTTCGTAGCTGGAGCGTACCATGAGCCCTGGCTCTGGTGGCAAAGAGCCCTGATAGAACCCCTTCCATCTGCAAAGCGAGCCTGTGCTGCTGGTATCTGTGTAGCCTACTCCTATGGACAACAGGGAGCTGGCTGTGGGTGGGAATGAGGGGAAGGAGGCAGATACAGGGCAAGATAAACAGCGCAAATGAAAAATGATGTACATCAGATCACAAATTATTAAAACCTATTTAGGTATTGCTTACTTCTTTTTGGAATATTACCATATAGAAAAGCTATCCCTTTGTAAATACCCAAATAGGAATAATTTGTAACAATAAGCATTCACACAGAAAAGTTATTTTCTTTCTCGCTTTGCTTTATTTATCTGGAGACTAAGTAAATTGTATTCACCATGCACTAATAGCCACCAGAGTAAGGTAAAGTATTTAATCACAAAAATCGCAATCGCTTTAGTGTCCTTTGATTTCTTTGTGTAGGGTACTTAATAATTATAAAAGCAATGATGGAAGTCATAAAAGCTGCAGGATATGGGGATGCTTGAGATGGGTACCAAAGAACAGCATCCACTACGTTAGCTCTGTGTACGTATGTGTGCAAGTATGTGTGCATAGGCACACACGGTCATATACACACCCTCACACACAGAATCTCTGCAGACCGCTAAAACCTTTCAGATGTATATTTATGCGGGTGTGTGCATATGCATATATATATATACACACATACATGTTTATTTCTATATATGATATCATTTTAAATCTTTCCCCAACTTTATACAAAATGAAACTAAGGCTCAAAGGAGGCAACCACTTGTTCACAATCACAGCAAGAGGCAAAGCTGGGGTGTATCCCCAACTGCCACCCTCTCAGGTAGCATCCTTTTTGTAAGATGCCTAAACAGAGCTGAAACCAGTTTGGCTCAGTGGATAGAGCATCAGCCTTCAGACTGAAAGGTCCCAGGTTTGATTCCGGTCAGGGGCATGTACCTTGGTTGCAGGCACATCCCCAGTGGGAGGTGTGCAGGAGGCAGCTGATCCATGCTTCTCTCTCATCCGTGTTTCTAACTCTCTATCCCTCTCCCTCCCTCTCTGTAAAAAATCAATAATATATATATATATATATATATATATATATATATATATATATATATATATATATATATATATATATATGTGTGTGTGTGTGTGTGTGTGTGTATATATATATATATATATATGTATATATATATATATATATATATATATATATATATATCTATATATTTTTTTTTTTTTTTTAAAGATGCCCAAACAGAGATAATTTTGAAACAGCGGACCTTTCAGTGACCTTTTGCCTTTCTCTTCCAGAACCTCCAGGCAAGGATTTGGGCCCCACGCTGGGCCTGAAGAAGTCCAGCTCGCTGGAGAGCCTGCAGACGGCCGTGGCCGAGGTGCGCAAGAACGAGCTGCCCTTCCACCGGCCCCGGCCGCACATGGTCCGCGGCCGCGGCTGCAACGAGAGCTTCCGCGCGGCCATCGACAAGTCCTACGAGGGCCCCGAGGACCTGGACGCCGGTAGGGCCGCCTGCCTCCCTCCTGCCCTGGCTCCCTCCTCCCGCTGTCATCCGCGAGCGTGTGTGCTTCACGGCGGAGAAAACTGCTTTGAGGATCCCAATTATAGTTTCCATATTAAAAGTAATTCGTTTCCCCCGATGTGTTTTGCCCTTTGGCTTAACGAACATGGGATTGCATAAGGCAATGTGCAATTTATTCTACTGCGCAGATGCGAGAGAAACGCTCGCTGTCACTTTCCAGCGAGGACCGGCTGTCATTCCTCCCCGAGGGTGGGAGCACTCAGTCTACTGCGTTTCTTGTCATTCTCATTGGAGCCGTTAGAAGCAGCATCCACCCCAGGACCGACAGCATTTTATTATTATTATTATTATTGATTATGGTATCACATAATTGTCCTCATCCCTCCATTCCCATCCCAACCCCTCCCTACATATACCTCCACCCCCCTGTTGTCCATGGCCACATGGCCATATGCATGCACACAAGTCCTTTGGTTGATCTCTCCCCCTTACCCCCACCCTCCGCTACTTTCCCTCTGAGGTTTGAGAGTCTGATCGCTGCTTCTCTTTCTCTGGGTCTGTTTTTGTTCATCAGTTTATATTGTTCATTATTTCCTCTAGATGCGTGAGATCATGTGATCTAAGAAATACCCTTGTAAGAACCTAAACTGAGACAGGCCATAATGGTTATGCTGAGAGGCAAATGAATCAGTCTGTAGTGAGTTCCTTTCTGCCGACCGCATTAATGGGGTGGAAGCCAATGGGTTATCTTGTGCTCAAAAACCTCTCCTGGAAATACACCCCTACCCCCACTGCCCCTGCTTATTGCCCAGCATGTGCGCTTTCTGAGCTGATCCAGGTTAGCAAGCTGGAGTTCAGAGAGATCCATGCTCTCCCATGCATCAGACTTTCCCTGCTCATCTCCCACTCCCTCCACCAAACCAGATTGAGGTAGCTGTGTCTTCAAAGGGTACAAGTGGCCCCCGGAAAGGGGAGACCTGCACAGCGCTCTTATTCACTCCTCTGCGTTTTGCATTTTAACTTTTCTTGGGATGCTGACACGGGGTGCCCCTGACCGTGTGTGTAAATATTTTTCCTCTGCAGACGGATTGTCCGATAGGAGCTCTCACTCCGGCCACGGAGCCCTCAACTGTGACTCGGCCCCTCCAGGGAGCTCTGAGCAGGAGGACCTGGAGAATAAAGTCAGAAAAGCCAAAAAGACAAAAGAGAAGGAGAAGAAGAAGGAGAAGGGCAAAGTGAAAGGCAAGGAGAAGAAGCAGAAGGAGGAAAGCGAAGATCCAGAAAGGAAGATCAAGAGAAAGGGGCTTGGTGCCATGCTGAGGTAGGGACTTGCTTGGAAGGCTAACTTGGTTTTGGTTTTCATTTGTTCGTTTGTTCATATCCCATGGTGCAATCACCCATTTGTGTGCATTCAGCAGAATGAGTACAACTTTAAACTGAGAATGCACTTGCTTGCTCCTTTTCTGCGGACGCAGAAGGAGACTTCTTGAGTGGCTCAGAAACTCGTGGTGATGACAGGAAGCAATTCTATATCTGCTGTCAAAGACGTGGGCAATTCCCGGAGACCTTGGTACCAAAGTGCTATGCGGATAAATTAAATGTGAATCCTAACTGTGACCCTTAGGGCAATCTCTTTGAATCAAAGAAGACTGACCAGATGAACCACACCCCCCTCTCTACTCCCATGAGTCTAGGTCTGAATAACCGGGCATGTGGGCACATTGGCTGCCATTCACAGAGGCTCTGAGGTCCAGTGGAGGTGTCACTGGGTTCAGAGTCAGATGACACTGGTCTGAACTCATGCAGTAGCTGCTGGGCTTCACACATACTTCTTACTGCCCTGAGCCTGAGTTTCCCCACTTTCAGAGGCCAACATACCTGTTCTCCTGGCACGTGGGGGTGTGAGACAAGGTCTCATGTGCAAATGCTCTGTTGACTAGGCATGGTTGCAGGTCCATGACACCCTCTGCGTTTGGGTTGGTGTCAGGACCACACCTGCTTCTCAGTCTGCAGCCAAGGAATATATATATGTTTATATATAATATATATATATATATATATATATATATATATATATATATATATATATATGTGTGTGTGTGTGTGTGTGTGTGTGTGTGTATAATATATATGTATATATGAATATATATGTACAATATATATGAATATATGTGTATATATAATATATATGTATATATTCCTTGAATATATATATTCAATCCTTTATATATAACAATATATTCAATTGTTCATATGTGGAATGCCACATCCATTTGAGGCTAGGGTTCAGGATCTGGAAAAGGGGCCGATGCACAAATGAAGACACTAGTCAAGAAATATGAATTTAGAAGGCATGGAGGGCCAGGTGGAAAACTTCCCTCTAGTGGAGAAGCTCTCTGACTTCTGGGTCGCATTTGCTTTTATTCACATGAATGCACATTTCCCCTTTAGGAATGCAAACAAGCATATCAAAGGTGAAGTTTGGTAAACAATAAAAGGATTATCAGGTTAAGAGATTGCCTTGAGCCATTTGGCCAACAGCAGGGCAATATCATGCTGATTTTCAGCCCTGCTGAATATGACATTGCTATGCTAACTACTGTTGGTCTTAGCCTCTGGCATATATGGAAAATAATGCAGTAATTAAATAATAACAATAATAAACTCTGTGTTTCACACACTCATAAACTATATATGACATTTAGGGGATAGAAATAATACTGATACCAGTAGACAGATCTCTCAAAGATCAAGAAAATGGATTCTCTCTAAAGAACCTCTAGAAAAGAATACAGACCTGCCAACCCCTTAATTTCAGCTCGTTTTTGTTGTTTAAGCCACCACGTTTGTCACACTTTTTTACAGCATCAATAGGACACTAATATAATTATCATCGTAATTATTACTATTTATTTAATGTAATAGTAATTCATAAGGAAAAAAATTCTATAAAAGCTTAACTAGAGTTGTCTATAAATATTAAAAAAAAACTGTCAGAGCTTCCCATTTTCTAGAATATTACTACATTAAGCCTTAACTTGATATTTTACTTCAGATGATTGGATTCAGCAGGTTCATACGCCATTGCCCATAACATAGAGCCAGCTTCTCTTGTTCAATGCATGCTATATTTTCCTCAGTTAGAAATCACAGGGCCTCCTGGATCCTTTAGACATCTAGCAACTCAGGGTTTGTGCCTTTCTACTATTTCAGCAAAATTAAGATCTGAAAAGTGGTGTTTGAGTTTATCTCTGGTGTAAAAATAGCAACTGTTTTCCATAGCCTTTCGCATCTGAGTTTGTGAGCATATTGGAGCTCCTGCTACATGCACATTTTCAACAACAAAGAACACAAAAGCTGTTACCATTAGCCAAGAGATTTCGCCTTCATTCTCATCTGTTGCTCAGATGCTATTGACTTAGTTTCTTTCTTATTTAAAAAAGATTGATTGCTTTAAGGTTCCTAGGAGTTAGACGTGTGGTTTAAATATGTATTATTTTTTCCATTAGCTTTTTTCACAGAAGCTTTCCTGAACCCAAGGCTTTAATGTAGGTTGTGTACTTGTACCGTGTATGGTGGCACCTGGCCACGGGCCCAAGTGAGGACTGAAATTCTGCTTCCTTCTCCTCACCACGCCCTGCATCATGGAAGTGAAAATATGTTGGCTGTGGCTATGCTTGTAAAGACTTTGTGTTGTGTGCTTTTCCGACATTAGCTGATCCACTCCTGTTGGTGATATATAGAGAGTGGTACAGTGTAGCTGATTAATTAATTTGATGTCCTCCTGATCCTTTTGAAAAATTGTGGCGGATTTCATTAATTCATATCTTCGCATGTGTTGTCTGGGCCCAGGATGCTTACTCTGTCCTGATTTCAGAATGACCTTGCAGATTCAACCATGGCTTACAGAAGCCATAAATTATCATGGAAAAATAGGCAGGGCTGGAACCCACCCATGTTGATAGTTTCCCTGTATCCTGTTTGCCTGCTGTTGAAAGAGAACAGTTAGCAGTTCAAAAGGCTTTTAAATTCCTCCATTATTCGTTTGGTTTCCTTTAGGCCTATTGTACTGTTTATGGCACTACCCTGTGGCCTGTGGCTCTTTGTAGCCAAAGAGTGAATGAAGCTCAAACCTCTCAATAGACCCGCCCATTGCTATCAGCCTTAAGCCAACTTCCTGGGGTCTAGCAGATATTTCCTAAGCACTGAAGAGAAATATCCTTTGGCTAACAAAATCTTGCCTATCTAGAATGAAAAACCCAGGAATCAGTGTCTGATTTCTCAATTATTTATAACCTTGTTGATCTTTATATTCTTTAAAGTGAATTCTGCCATAGATTTTTGTTTAAAATCCATTCTTTTATATCATAGCTGCTGTATTCTCCTCTTCAAATTATAGGCCACTCACTTCAAAAGCCTTTGAATTGTCAACTGGTTTGGGATCCTGAATGGAAAGTCTTGATATTGTTGGTCAAGTACCTTTTTCTGTATATTTTTGTATGATTTTGTTCTCAAAGGAATTGTGCCCACTGAACTCCACTTTAATGGATTAACAAAGAACAAAGTGTAAAATGTGCCAATAGAAACTTCATCTCTGCTTTTAAATTTTGTTTACCCTTATTTATTTGATAAACAACATATATAGAATACCTACTCATTGCCAAGCACATTAATAATTATTCTTCAGCTATTCAACTCTATTAAATGCCTGCTTTACATCAGACACTGTTTTAGACACTGGGCATAAACAATGAAATCCCCACTTTTATGGTATATATTTTTTTGTTATAGTGAAGGAAGGAGAAATCAGACTTTTTAATTTCTTGAATTTAAAACAAAAATATAGAATAACCATGAAAACTATGTATAACAAGGCATTTTCCAGGAAGTGGTGAGCCATTTGCCTAGGAGACCTCTGGGAGAAAGCAGCCCCTGTCCGCTGCTCTTGGGGATTAGCAGTTATTTGCCATAGCTCTTTCCAGTGATGGGGAGAGAGTCAACAATTAACTCAAAATAGTTGAGATGATTTCAGATTGTAGTAGGTGCTATGAAGAAGGTAAGAAGTCAGAAGGGCAGCGTTATCTCACCCTTTGTAATTGTCTTAGCAGGTAACAGTGTGCATCTCCAGGCCACACTGAATTTTTAGCAGATATGTTATCAGAACTTTGCACATTGTAGTAGTGATGCCAAGTCACTGTATGCTTGCTTTTTTAAAAAACTGTCTGCTACATATTAGTATGGGGTGGTTATTTTTAAACCAGCTTCACATGAAGCCATTACAAAAAGCTAAGTATAAAAATGGTCTCTGTTTCAGTATAAAAGCCCTTTTATACCTGAAGTAAATGTTCTAAAGAAATGTGGTCTTTAATCTAAATAGTGAACTTGTTTTGCAGCTATTTGAATCAACTTTATTCCTCCTAACCAATCAGTTGAATATTCTTTACTGTTACTTCTTAACTGAGCCAATGTATGTATGCCTAAAGGTTCAGGTTCTGCAGAGCAAAACCTGAATCATGAGCCCTAATGAAAAAGGTGTTTTTAAAAAGCTAGAGGCATCAACTTTTTATTTCTAAACTTTTCAAATCGAAAGCATCTATGTTCATTTGATTTATACTAAAATATACTATATATCTTATTGAAATTAGGGCAAATCTATATAATGGCACTGTACTGTGAGTTTTTAAAAAGAACACTCATACACATACATACACTCATTCTCACCCTCCTCTTATCCCTCCTCCACCACCACAAACATCAGCACAGATATCACCACTGCCAAGTTCATACCTAACCTCTTTAAATATCTGTCCCTTATGAGCTCTGAGTACTTTGCTTTCCAGATTTTCGTTAATCCCTTTGAGTCTCAGTCTACTCATTAGTAAATTGGGGATAATAACACATCCTCTCCAAGTTTATTGTGATGTTTAAGTTCAACAACTTATGTAAAGCAAGCTGTTAGCCTGACTTGCTAGGCTATACTTCTTGTCTCTTTCCCCAGGGCCCCACCCAGACGGCAAAACATCAGTTACTGCCTTTGACTTAACTGACGCCCAATTAAATTTTCATTTCAGTTTTCCCTCCTCTAATCACTATTTTGTATTTCAGATGAGCATGCTTTTTTTTTTTTTTTTTTTAGCCTGGGCAATTTTGCATAGCAAACTATAATAAGTAATGACAGGTAAAATCATTCAATCATTTATACTTTATAAGCTTTGCCTACCCCTTTCTCAATGTAACCGTGAACTACTTTCAAAGGTTATCTAATCATTTGATGGTGATGAGTAGAGATAGAAAATGAACTCAAATAGAGAAACAGGTGCC